CCAGTGAGCTTCATGGCCAAGAGGGGATTTGAACCCTGGTCCACCAGGTCGACAGTTTAAACACTACACCACAGGGGTGTCGTGAGGAAGTGCCAAAGTGAGGTGACTTATCACAGGTGTACCCGACCTGTTTCAACACAAATGCCTTTATGAAGGACTGATGTATAAGAAATAAAGACATGGCTGGCTTTTAGTTTAAATAGGTTCCTTTTTGTTAAATTTCATCTAAACATGATTTTTTGTAATATATGAGTGTATTTTACAATTTCCCAAAGGTTTTTATGTGGTTGCTTTAGTAACTGTTGTGTAAGTCCTTAATAAAGGTGATCGTGCTGAAATACCTGAATATATACAGTAAAACCTTTCTTCCTTTGGACACCATTGAGCCCTGTTCCTCTTTCTTGTGCTAGCTCAAAGAGGTGGAGAACAGGGCTCATAACTCCCTATTCAACAGCTGCCATCTCTGATTTTCTTGTTTCTTTGGTGCTTCCCATTTCTCCACAGGTCTGCTTTTTCATTCATTTTATTTTCCCAGTTCTCTTCAGAAGTGTTTATTTCCCCTCCTCCCAAATCTGCTCGATCAAGTTGTTGTCTTTCCCCCCAAGCTAGGCTTCCTGGAAACAAGCCAATTGCACACAAAACATTTTAAAAAATAAAGTCACGGAGAAGGAGGAGGGGAAAAAGCATATGAGCAGAAGCATTTCCATGAGAATGAAAAACTCAAGTCAAATTACAGCAAAATAGTCTCAGGAGTAGAGAAGGAAAAAAAGTAAGCACACAAACAGTCGACATTAAATGCCAGAATAAACTTTAGGGAAAGAAATGGTACTCATAATCCATGAATCAATCTTTCTTTCTTTCTTTTGATGATATTATTGGAGATAATATAGTCTCATCTTGTTTTAGAAATCAACAAGTTATATCCAATATGACTCAGAACCTCAAAAATAATGCATTCCTCATTCATTTCTGCTGCTTTTTGGGGGGGGGGTGAGGAGAGGGGGGAAATAGCTGCATTATTTTTGTTTGTTTCATTTTACCTTCTGTATCCAGAATTGCAAACCTTATAGCTAGTGGCTCCCTGTAGATTTCTCCACATTCATGTATTATTCTTTAAGTATGCCATTAATTTTCTCTAGATTTAGACTGATCCAAACTTCTGCAATACATAAGGCATTCCCCAAGGCCCTATTGTAACAGTACACCATATTGCTCTACTGAACCCTACAGATAGAACTCGTGGCTCTCCAGAAATTATTGAACTAGAACTCCCATCAGCCTCAGCAACCAATGGCCAGGGATGATGGGAGTTGTAGTTCAGCAACATATGGAGGGCATCACATTGGATGCACCTGGTTCAAGAAGCCTCAGGAAACTTGAGTTAGCCATGTTTATTAATTTCAGTGAGTCTACTCTGAGTAGGACTAACATTGGCTACAACCCACAGGCAGCAAATGAGAAGCAGCAGCCCATGGCTGTCAGATGCTGACTGAATTAACACTTCCATGGCGGCTGCTAGCCATGTGGGTTAAATTGAACTTCTGTGTATCATTTAACTGGTACCTGATTGACTGACTGAACCCCAAGAGTGCCCACAAATGGTTTGTCATCATCCTGGAAAAAGGTGACAGGTGGGGCAATGCAGGGCTCCATCTTGGGCTCAGCATTGTTCAACATCTTTATAAATTACTTGGATGAAGGAATTGAGGGTATGATCATCCAATTCGTAGATGACACTAAACTGGGAGAGTTAGCTAGTACTATAGAAGATAGAATCAGGAGTCCAGATGGCCTTAACAGATTGGAGAACTGGGCTAAGAACTGAACCAAAAGTAGATAAAAGCATTTCAATAGGGACAAATACAAGGTTTGACTATTAGGCAGAAATAATCAGATGCACAAAAATAGGATGGGGACACCTGGCTTGACAGCAATACACATGAAAAGGATCCAGGGGACTTAGTAGGCTTGAAACGAGTCAACAGTAGTAAAACAAAACAAAACTAATTCATCCACAGAAGTCTAGTGTCTAGATCAAGGGAAGTAATAATACCACTCCATTCTGCCTTCATTAGCAGTACCAAGAGTACTGTTGAGAGTCGGAGAGGGAGGGACATAGGTTCCTTCACCACAGGACTAGATGCTGGCCTGATCTGCTGTAGGTATCTTCAAAACCCAGAGGTCACCAACCTGAAACTGGTTTACTGATTCTTTACAGCCTAATTTCAGTGGGGGTGGGGTGAGGGGAGGACCCTGTGGATGCTAGGAAAGGCCTCTCGGTGTGCATGTGTGGGTGCGGCAACCCTACTGGCACCCCCTGCTCTGGCCTTATTCTTGTCTTGAAATTTCAGAGTGTTCATTGGACACTTCCACTGGAGGCTGGTCCACCTGGGTGACTGGGGCAGTCTGTCCTCAGCCAGCCCCCTCTTGCCAGCCTTCTTACTTTCAACCAGCCCAGGGGTGGCCCTGGCTGTCTGGTTTCTCCTCCTTAGTCTCAACCAGGCCCTTGTAGAACTAAGCAGCTACCAAGACAGGAACAAAATTAGAATTAGTTGGCACCACCTGTTCTTGGATCTGTCTCTGTCTATCATTGGATCAGACTCTACCTGTGGCTAGTTGGGCTCCCTGCCTTCCACCCAACCAGTCACAGTGGGTGCAAGTCACCATGGACCACTTCTCTGCTGCTGCAAGAGTATGCGTAGCACAAAGAGGGGACTGTCTCAGCCTTGCCTGCTCATCTTCTTTAGGAGATTGCCCCAGAGGACCATGAGGGACCAATTATATGAGAGTTCATGATACTTTAAAAAAACAAAACAGCAGCAAGTCACCAAAGTATATTAAGTTCTGAACATTGCAGTACCTGTTATTTCTGCTGTTCAGGGCTTTAGTTATTACATTAGTGAGCAATCTGGCAACCGTCAGGGAGTATTACACATAGCAATTCACAAGGTCAGGAAGACAGAAGATTTGAGTCAGAGGCATGAAAAGCCAGCCCTGATAACAGAGGATCTCATCGGCTGATTTGCATTGGCACCCAAGAACTGGAAATGAATCACGTCAAAAGATACTTGCAAAGAATTAATTTGTCAGTCAGTTATCAGTGAATGCTTGGAATAACCTAAGAGCAACTTTGTACTTGTAAAAATGTCTCGGCTATAGTACTCCCCCCCCCCCCGCCCCGGTAGTGTGATTTAGAGTAAGAGTACAGTCTTAAGAGTTGCTTTCCTGAGTTAGGCTGAGGTGTCAAGGAGTCTGGGTTTTAGCATTGATTAAGCCAGCAAAACAGTCCTTGGTGATTGTGGCAGACCATTTCAGAAAATTTGGAGTAGGGACAACTTCCCAATTTGTAATTTTGGCAGGATAATAGTTCCCCTGCCCCCACGTCCACCAACTCATAATCCTGGCTGCTGCTGCTGCATGGGGTGAGAGGGAAATGTCTTCTTTTCCCTTTCCTTCCTTCCCTGGAGTCCAGAAAACACTGCCTTAGATGTTTTTCTGGTGGCACTGAGGTGCCCTAGGAAAATCCCTTGCTTCTGGGATCTGCTGTAGCATTGCTGCAAGCATGAGAAGGAGAAGAATGAGAAGGGGAAAGAGAGAGAGAGGAAGAAGAAGAAGAGGAGGAGGAGGAAGGAGAAGAGATGGGCCATGGAGAAATGGAAGACATCCTCCCTTCCTTCCCATTGCTAAAACAACCACAGCTTCACTGTTCACAGCCACTGAAGCAGAACAGTAAGGGGGTTTTAAGGACTCCTGGTGAGAGGAGTTCAGGGAAAGGTTTGCTTCACTAATCAAAACCCAGGCCAGCCTCCCTTTGAAAAAGCCCCCACCAAAATCTAGAGCCACTTTATTGGGTCCTGTCCTGCTCAGCTTATAGGCAGCCATGAAACTGACCCTCGAGAGGCTTCAGCAGGTGGCATAAGCAGACCTAGGGCTTTCTAGAATCTGCACATGTGGAAGCAGGGCTTTGGTTTGGTGTATGATAGTGAAGTGGTGATATCTTGCTGCCTTGGGTGCAGACGAGTCAGGTTATGGGGAGCCTGCAGCTGTAGGCCAAGTCCCAACAACATTTGGAAATCACTGTTGAACATTGTATTAAAGCTAACTTTTACTCACAGTAGAGCTTTTGATATTAATAAACCTGATTCGCCATGGTCATTAACTTCAACGAACCCTCTCCCCTCCTGTGGTTTAAAGCAACTGGTATTCAGAAGCATTACTGCCTCAGACTGTGGAGGCAGAGCATGGCCATCATGTCTAGTAGCCACTGCTAGCTTTGTCCTTCGTGAATTTTCTAATCCTCTTTTCAAGCCTTCTAGATTATTGGTTATCACTACCTCCTGTGGGAGCAGGTTCCATAGTTTAATTATGTGTTGTGTGAAGAAGGACTTTCTTTTATCAGCCTTGAATCTTCCAACATTCAGCTTCATCTAGTGTTATGGGAGAGGGAAAAAACTTTTCTCTGGCTGCTTTCTCAATGCCACGTATAATTTTATAAATCTCTACCATGTCTCCTCTTACTTGCCTTTTCTCTAAACCAAAAAGTTCCAAATGCTGTAACCATTCCTCATAGTGGAGTTGCCCCATCCCCTTGATCATAACCTCTTTACGTTTCATTTACGGGCATAAAAATTTGCATTTTTAGAAGCTCATTTCCACATTCCCTCCTGCATCTAAAGCACAATTGAGTGAGGTTTAATATCCTCAGCTGAATGAGCATGTGTTTCTCTGACCCAGCGGGCAGTTTTTTTAAAACTTAGAATTTCTTCCTCTCTAAAGATTTTTTCTTTTCTTTTCTTTTAACTAACACTCAACGTTTGGAAGGCATTTAAGGTTAACACATATCTACTCTCAATATTCAATGAAGCTTAGATTCCCCCTTCCTGTACTTTAGATCACCAGCACAGATAGTTTTCATTTTTCCATCTCTAGTATTCTGTTACTGGAATAAAGTCTTAATGTTTCCCAGGTGATGTGGATTATCTGGATCTGATTGGGAAAGGGCTGTAGCTCAGTGGTAGAGCATCTGCTTTGCACATCGAAGGTCCCAGGTTCAACTCCTAGCATCACTGGGTTGCTCTGGGAGAGAATCCCTTTCTGAAATCCTGGAGAGCCACTGCCAGCCCGTGAAGGCAATACTGAGCTAGATGAACAAATGGCCTGACTCAGGATAAAGGTAACGGTAAAGGGACCCTGACCATTAGGTCCAGTCGCGGACGACTCTGGGGTTGCGGCGCTCATCTCGCTTTATTGGCCGAGGGAGCCAGCGTACAGCTTCCGGGTCATGTGGCCAGCATGACTAAGCCACTTCTGGCAAACCAGAGCAGCGCACGGAAACGCTGTTTACTTTCCCGCCGGAGTGGTACCTATTTATCTACTTGCACTTTGATGTGCTTTTGAACTCCTAGGTGGGCAGGAGCAGGGACCGAGCAACGGGAGCTCACCCCATCGCGGGGATTCAAACCACCGACAATCTGATCGGCAAGCCCTAGGCTCTGTGGTTTAGACCACAGCGCCACCCGCGTCCCTTATGACTCAGGATAAAGAAGCTTCCTATGTTCCAGTTTGGCTTCAGACTTGGATTTGGGACTGAGGCAAAACTTCAATCATCTCCGTGAATTATATGCACTGGGAATGAGACACTCAGTATTCTCTACACTCCCTGCCAGTGTTTCTCCAGAGTTTCAGGCAACAGACATTCCCAGCCCTGCTTGAAGATGCCAGGGACTGAGCCTGGGACCTCTCTGCATGCAAAACAGATGCTGTACAATTGAGCTGGGGCCTCTTCCCCAAATACAAGATACAGTCGTACCTTAGGTTAACAACTTAATTAATTCTGGAGGTCCGTTCTTAACCTGAAACTGTTCTTAACCTGAGGTACCACTTAAACTAATGGGGCCTCCTGCTGCCACTGCACCGCTGCCACATGATTTCTGTTCTCATCCTGAAGTAAAGTTCTTAACCTGAGGTACTATTTCTGGGTTAGTGGAGTCTGTAACCTGAAGCGTCTGTAACCCGAGGTACCACTGTAGATAAAAAAAATTGACAGTCCCCCCCCCCCCATTTCTAGCTGCCCCTGTAAACAGCCGGTGTGTGACTGAAGACTGACAATACTGGGCCCCCAATTGTGTGGAGAGAACCTGTATGGACAATGGCATCAAGGATGGGGACAATATAGCACAGTGGATGTTGCGCGGTCCTCAGGCAAGCCTCATCTGCCTTACTTATGCCCGGTCTAGGGGGAGGCACTGGCTGCCTCTTTCCTCCTCCTCCTTTGTAGAACTCAAAGGAGGAAAAGGAGGAGGTTGGGACGCAGCCAGAATGGCTTGGCTCTGCCTGTTATTGGCCCTGACACCACCTGCTGTTGGGATCCCTGCCTTCTGCCCTACCAGCCCCACAGGGCACCAGCTTCCAATGAGCTGATGAGAGTCCCCGTTCTGTTCTCATATGACCCTTGCTTTGAGTCCCACAGCTGGCGGTCCTGGCGCCGCCCTCTTGCCTCTCAGTATGAATAAAGGACAGCTGGAGAAGAATGACAAAAAGGGGTCAGCTGAAAGATAACAGAAGTCTCAACTGCAACCTTCTCCAAGGGAATCTTTGCCGTCTTATATATTTAGCAGCTGTTTTTAAAATAAGACTGTGATTGAGAGTCCACACACTTGACTACAGGAAAGTCAGCCCCTTGGAGTATTAATCAAAGCATGCGTTTTGCTTGCTGTTCTAGCCCTGTGTTCCCCATGTATGCGTTCCACATTTTTAACAGCTGCTTTCTCTTCCTTCACTATTTGATCACATTTGTTTTCCATTAGCAGTCCAGGGGACAACTGAGAGCTGTGATTAACTCATTTGCTGAGGCTCGCTCTCGTAATTTTACATGGGAAAGGCTGGCTGGATTGTCAAAAGGTTGTGCTGCCAAGGAAAGCTTTATTTCAATGCCATTAGCATCTTCAGAACAATCCATTTGGAAAAAGGTATGCAGGGATTGGCATGACTGTTACCAGAATGCCACCCTATGCCCAGTAGAATTTGGATGAGGTTATTTATTTATTATTTTATTTATTAAATTTATATACTGCCCTTCATTTGAGGATCTCTGGGCCGTTCACAAGATAAAAATACAGCATAAAAATGCAAAAATAGTTAAAACAAAAACAAAACATGCCAAGGATCGAACATGGGGCATTCTGTGTGCACAGCAGATACGAGCCATCTCCACTGAGCAGGTTTACAGGTTACCTGGCTACTGTCCTTCCCACTATGGTGAGATGTATTGTATTTAGGGATGGAAGAGAATCTCACTCGGACTGCATGCTAAAGTGAAACAACCTAATTCACAATTCCTGGATTTATCATTCAGATTGGAACACAGTTATCAATTGCACTGTGCACTTCTCTGAATTTTACAATGCAGTTTAAGAACAATTTATTTATTTCTTAAAATATTTATATCATGCTATTTCATTCAAAAAAATATCAAAGTAATTAGGATTGGAAATTACTGAGTGCCATTCACAAGCATAGCTCATAGCAATGCAACTCCACCTTACCACGAATAGCAGAGAAGCATCACTGTATAAGTTGTAGCCACATCCCTCCAGGTAACATGCAAACTTCATCTAAGAGATGAGACAAGAAAGCAAGGGAATTCATTGTAGTTTGCTTATTATTCAGTCCCCTTCAGGCTTGCGTTTCTCCATTGATTTGAGATAATCTCATTAACACTTTGGACATTGATGCAGTGACATCATTCCAGCAAATTGCTCCCCAAGGTTTGATATTAGATCAGGGAATTACCATTCATCACACTATTTATGACAAATCTAATAGCATGCACTGATTTGTTACAAGATGCGGCTTGCGTGCGTTTCTTCCCTAACAGCTACAGTTTTCCTTTCAGCCTTCACCCACCAATTCTTTTCTTGAAAGACACCAGCTCTTCATTTCTAGCTTCAAAAGACAGGAAAGTTCATTTACAGCAAAGATCATGCAATGAGCATGCATTCCAAAGATCTCTGGAGGAAAAAAAATGTGTATATTAGAAGAAATTCATAGTACAATGATGATGAATTTTCATGAGGACCTCTTTTTAAAAAAATCACATACTGATGCAGAAATGTGGAGAACTCAAGGTGGGAAAATTAAGAAATGGAGAGACACTGAAATGGATAGATTTACCCATCCCTTCCTGTCACACAGTGTGGAGTGCCCATGATCAGAGTTCCAGTCAGTCATGCCTTTCACAATATATCAGCCCCTTCCCACTCCAAGTTGTTCTTCCACACACCCCAGTAGTATTCATCATTCTGTGGAAACTTAGGAGCTCCTAAGTCAGGGGTCGACAATTGGATCAGGCCCAATTGCCTTCAGGATCCGGCTTGCAGATTGTCTGTGGATTGGTGTGCGGATTCTGTTTGTTCGGGCTGTGCCATTTCCCCCCCCGTGCCATTCCATTGCATTCCATTCCCCCCTTCCCTCACACACACACACACACCGCAGTGGTGCCTCCTCCCTCCCTCCTCCCAGCTTCTCCCTGCCCTGCCTAGAGGAGGAAGGGGGCTGGGCTGAGCTGGCTGAGTGACATTTTAAGCAGCCCCTCTCCGGAGCCAGCCCTTTCGCGCTGCTCATTTTCCCACCACCGCCGCCCTGGTGCTCCTGTGGTCCAGAGAGCGGAGCGGACGAGCTCCCTCTGCCTACCCATGAGAAGCAGCAGCGGTGGCGGCCGTGGCAGCCCCTGGGAAAGTAAGTGCAGTGGCTGGGGCTGGGGAGGAGGACTACTTGCCCCCCTCGCCTTTTCTTCCAGCTCTGCCCCCCCCGTGCTGCTTCTCCGGCCCGCCACAAGGTCTGAGGGACAGCGGCTAAAATTTTTTGCCGATCCCTGTCCTAAGTGGTTGTGATCCCTGCCAAAAGTAGCAGCAGGAAACGAATTGGGTGTAAAATTTAAACAGTGGTGAATGCAAGCCTCGCTGCTCAGGAAGAAGCAGAAGCATACTCTGGGACTGTGTTCCTGGCTGTTTCAGTGGGGCTCACATTTGGCAGCGATTACATTCAGCAGGGAATGCAATCCAGTGGGCTCAGATCCAGGTAGCATCACATGGCATCAGGAGATCAACAGGTGGAGAGACCTGCCACCTGACAAAAGTAGCCTGCAGCAGGACAGTCACTGATCTGTCCTGTTCACCATCCCAGTGATGGAGGCACGATCAGAAATCATTGCTGAAGTAAACTAGTGGTAAATTGTTTACCACCAGTTTTCCGCAACCTGCAAAGCAAGGAAATCCAACAATGGATAATGCAGCCCTCACACTTGCATGTGCTGGAGCACACACACACACACACACACACACACACACACACACACACACTTTCTGTAATCCTACCTGGCTCTGAAATTTATTGCTGTAGCATCTTGCTTCAGCAGTTGATATATTGGTCCCTGGGGGTAGCTGGTGCTCCATCATATCTGCCTGCTATCCCCAGTGGTGCAAAGAGTCCAGAAAAGTTTGCTATTAAATCATATGAGAAATGTTACCCCAGTGAGCACACCATGTCATGGGAGGGATGAATGTCATGTGAATAAGAGATTGGTGGGGGGATCTACAGGGCTCTTGGGGAACAAGGAGGTAGGAAATATCTCAAAGGGTATTTTGCACAACATTATTTTAGAAAGTCATTTGGGCAAGAAAGGAAAAAGAAAGAGGAAAAAGATTAATTAAAAAAATATGTATTAGCATTCTGTCTGTATCTGTGGACCAATATGCACCTCTAAAGAGCATACCAGAAAGTAAAAAATCCACACCTGGGCCATTCAATGTGTAGTGCTCCCTTTAGATCCATTAACAATAAAATCTGTAGTTGTCTCTTTTCTTGGTGTGGCCTTGCAGCACTTTTGGATGACTGAGAGATTACAACCCTGCCATCCAGTCTGGATTTTTAGATTCCTTCTTGACCCAGTGAATAGTTAAACTATGAACTTGTGCACACAGGAGGCAGGGATGGGAACCAACTTGGATGGCTTTAAAAGAGGATTCGACAAATTCATGGAAGAGAAGGCTATCAATAGGTACTAGGCCCA